GCACTGCTTGAAAAGCACGCCTCTAGGTCACAGGAGGAGAATCTCAGACTATCTAGTTCCCTGTGTGAATGCCTCCTGCTGCATATTGCCCTCTGTCAGATGACTGTGATGGTTAGGAAGTTTTTCCTAAACATGTGGGTCCCCTCTCCTCTTGGCTGTAGTTAAGCTTCCCACAACCTCCTCACTTTGCTTTCTGGAGAGCAGCATGACTACTGGTTAAGTAAGATTCTTGACTCTATGTTCTGCTGCTATCTTTAGCCTCAGAGGTGCCCTGGGCCTACCTACCACTTGACCTTATAGCAACATGGCTTTCCTGGCCTTACAGGAAAACGTTGCCTTGTAACAACTTCCCAATTTCCTTTTTGTTTGTTAGAGATCACCAGGTATGGCTGTGGCCCCACGTATATGGCTGAACATTAGAGTCATCTGTGGCACTTGCTTTAAAGAAGAGAGAGGGAGGTAGGGGTTGATCCTGGGGCAGATTCCCTAGTAGTTCTGAATCACCATGTCAGGGCTTTAGTGCCCATAGCAGTTTCAATGCACCTGCTAAGTTTGGACGTCAATGGCTGCACTGGCCCACCCTGGGAGCTGGAACTCCTGTGAGCAGTGGGCTTCACTTCCTTCTGGAGCTGCCCTCTTCCCACTGTATTTCAATAAGCTGCTAGGCAACAGAGGCCACAGAACTGGACTGGACTTGCTGGTGGTCCAACATTGGGCACAGGGTTTCAGCCAGATACTCTGGGTGGCCTTTCTTCTCCTGACAGCCCACTTCTCTGATTTCCAGGGTTCAGCTGGGGCAGCTGCCACTGTGACTGAGGGCAGAAAGAAGGGAAGGTGAAGTGGGTATCAAGTGTGTCCAGATGGTTGGGTCTGCTTCTACATTGCCCTGGCCAATGGGCCTCTAGTTAGCACCAGTAGATTAGCTGGGCATATAAAGTGAGGCCAGGAAGAGAGGCAGGGAAACAGGCTTTCTAATAGGTTGGATGTGTCTGACTTTTCTAGTCCGTAGGAAGAGTGCTCCTGTGCCCTAGAGCCTTTGTCAATCATGAGTCACTGCCCAGATGTCTGCCAGATGCCTCAGAGGGACTGGCTACCTGGGAGGTGACTGCCACCTTGTTGGTGCTGGGCAGGGATGGATTGGTGGACACTGCAGACAGGGTTTCTCTGATCTTATGAGCCAGTGGCTGGTGCTTTCCTGGGCCTTCCTGGTCTGGCCCCTGGCTGGAGGTGACCGTGATGGAAGAGCAGCCAGGGTCATCAGGAAGACCCATCCATCAGTGCCCTGTCTCCTGTCTGAGTCTCCTGGCGGGGCTGCAGCTGGCAGCCTGGGCTTGGCAGTTGTTCCATAATTGGAACAGGAGTCATTAAAAAGCCATTAGTGTCTCCTTGTGTGGTTATCGTTTAATGCAGCCTAAAAGATGCCTATCAGAAAAGACAGACTGAGGAAGTGTTGGTGGAAAGGAAGATGCCCTAGGAATGGTGTAAGAGTGGAGCGGTGGAGCTGGGGAGGCAGGGCCATCTGGGTGGGAGTGGTGATGGGGCTAGGCCTCCTGAGGAAGCGAGGGGAGCTCTCCCTGGAGACAGCCATCCTCCTTGTTTTCCACAACAGCTGCTATTTGCTGGGGCTTTTTTGTTATTCACCAGGGAAAGTTGTTGCATGCTCAGATACATTGTCCTTAGCCAGCAACACCCATATAGTACAAGCTTGTCACTGCAGGGCAATGGTGTCCACCTTGTACCCTCACAGCTCTCCTAGAGACACTGTGCCTTACGGAAGCCTGCTTTATTCCACATTTTGGACCCACTCTGGGAGCTGCCTTATTTCTGTGGATTTATTGTAGGCCTTCCTGGATGCTCTCGCTGGGCCAGGCACATGTTGCTTCTCCCCAGCTGCACCCACCTTTCCTCTGTATACTAGAGCATTCAGCTGCTGAGTTAGGCAGTGGCTCTGCAGGTACTTCCAGGATGTTGGAGGTTTCTGGAATCTGTTTTTAGAAGTCTGGCCTTGTGTTCATCCCTCTTTCTCTGAAGGCGAGTGGTTAAGTCCTTCTTACCTGTAATCTTACCTGGTAGTTAATGTTACTAAAGCCTGCGGTGCTTTATCATACTCCCCCATCAGGACGTGGAGGTGGGGACAGGAAGAAGTGATTTTTTTTCCATGGAAGGCAGCCCTTTTGCCCGTAGGATAACTGTGGAAGGTCAATGGCCATGGGACAGAGGCCTGTGGTAGGAAAATGACCCCCTTCCTGGCTAAGGTCATCAGGGGACACTGTCATTGTTGTTTAGCAGTTTGGGGCTGGGTTCAGTGAGGCTGCCATGGCTGGAAACATCTTTTGACAGTTGAGCAGCTACTGTGACCCCACATTTCAGAAGGTGGCTTTGTTAACATGAGCCTGACCTCTCAGCTGGATGTCACCTTTTCTAAATTACTCTAGATATTAGCATCAGCACCTTGGAAGGCATCAGCCAAGCCCAGTGCCTGGGATGGCCCAGATGACTGCCCCAACCCTGTTGCTCTTGTGACCTCTAGTAGGTTGTACAGCAGCCTCTCCCACTGGCACAAAAGGAAGCCAGTGATGTTGCAGTAGAGGTTGCACAGAGGGTTCTGTGGCCAGGCCACTGGCATAGGTTGTGAGGTTTGCAGGCGGCCTTGTGCCAGGCACAGAGCTCAGCAAGTAGAGCACAGTTGGATCTTAGACCCCTGTGCTCCTGTCAGCCGGGTGCCATAGTATAAAACCCAAATTGTGTCTTTCAAACGTGTCCTAGAGTATGCACTGCTCGTGGTGGACAGTGGCGTTTGGGTCTGATTCTTTGAAGTTAGAGCTAATGCTTTGCCCTTGGTTAGTCAGGTCAGTGAGTAGCTACAGAGACAGTGGAAAGTTGCAGCCTCTCAGGCCTGGCAGGGCCCTTAGGCATCTGGGCAGGGTTCAGTGAGGCTGCCATGGCAGGAAACATCTTTTGGCAGTTGAGCAGCTACCGTGACCCCACATTTCAGAAAGTGGCTGAACCCTTTTTTCAGGAGTCTTTGCTAGGCTTGGGCCCCATAACTCAGTGTTTAGGGCGCTGGCACATACATTGGGGCTGGCAGATTCAAACCTGGCCCAGAACTGCTAAACAACAATGACAATAACAAAAAAATAACCGGGCATTGTGGCAGGTGCCTGTAGTCCCAGCTACTTGGGAGGCTGAGGCAAGAGAATCGCTGAAGCCCAAGGATTTAAGGTTGCTGTGAGCTGTGATGCCACAGCACTCTACTGAAGATGACATAGTGAGATTCTGTCTCAAAAAAAAAAAAAAAATTCCCTTCTCAGAAGTCCTTGCTGCAGCCCTCCAGCCTATAGTGTGTGCCTTCCATGATGGGATGCTTACCATCTCAGCCTGCTCAAATTTTTAGGGAGCTAGTTCATCCTCTCTTGTCAATGCCTTCAGGCCCCAAAGAGGCTGTGCCCTTTTGGTAGGTGGGCGGTTTGAGGAACAAGTATGTTTGCTGAGCAGTGTTTTCTTCTGTGTTCAGCAACTGAGAGTTTGGTGAATGAGGCTGTTTTTGCACACAACCCCAGATCACAGTTGGGGCTCCGCTGATGGGAGGATTAGGCTGTGGGTACCAGGAAAGGCTTTCCCAGATGTCAAGTAGGCAGGACAGCTGCCTATAAAATATATGCATAATCCCCGTAGGTTGTGGCAAAGGAGGTGGGCAGTCCACGATGTGGAGAGTCCTTCCATCCTCAGGCTGGCTCCCTCAGAGACACAGGTAGTTTAAGGGACATGTAGGTCAATGACTGTTCCAGCCAGAAAGAGCTGTCAGGACAGGGTGGAAATGGCTTCATCTTGTCCTTGGGTGGTTCAATCTCATCTCTCCCCCTGGCATGCAGACTGTATTCCCCTTCACTTGGGCACATCCACTTCTTACACAGGCGTCTGTATGTGTGTGTAAGCACACGAGATACAGTCACATGCTTCCTTATTGCCTTAGCAAATTTGACATACTCAGGCATGTCTGTGCAAGCATCCACACACAGGTCTGGCTCAGGGGCAGGCTCTGGCATAACTGGGCCAAGGCTGCTTGGGGTTCCCAGAGCTCAGATCCTCAGGCTCCAACTTCACGCCATACAGCTGTCCTGACCTTGCCTTTTATGGAATTTGGGCCTGGGTCTTATGCATATGTCTTGCACTAGCAAGAACGCTAAGCAGTTTTGAGTTACTAGCTCCCTGCTTGTGCTTGCCTTCCTATGGGCAGGCCCCGACTGGGTTAAATGAGGCTGCCTATCTCAAGACTTGTGGGTTTAAGTATTTGATGTCCCTGTGCTGCCTGTGCCATATCTGTGCCAGGGAAGACCTGGTGGCTGGTTCCAAGGTTGTGTATTGATGGGTTGTGTCTACCATGCAAACCTACCCACCCAGCTCAAGACCTGCAGAGAAAGACTGGGTGGTTTCTTAGCTTCACTCTCCCAATGAGAAGGAGGGACCCTCTGTCCTCTTCAAGTGGGGAAGCAGGATAGACAGTGTTAACACCTCCATTCTGCCCACCTAGATAGACAGAAGTTTGTTCTGAATGGATGGGGACAGGGTCTGCCCCAGAGGACCCAACCTCTTCCAGAAATGATGAAAAGGCATGAAAAGCAGAGCTCCCCATAGGAGCAGGCCCCTGGGTTGAAGTCCGGCCTTGGGTCTAGCTTATAGGGTCTCCTGGATTTTAGTCAAGCCTGGCTCTGTATGGGGATCTGATAGAAGAGTCTTATCCTGCAGTTATTGCAGCCAGGCCAGCTGGGAAGTCTTTGGGCAATAGGGATCCTAGCAGGAGATAAGCTCCCAAAGTGGCAGCTCAAGCTGGTTCCCAGAGGGCAGCCCTCACCCTTCCTTCATTACCATTTGAGCTCACTGAGTCCGAGGAGCCGTGATGTGGGAGGGGTTTAAAGGACTCAGAGGTGGATGGGGTGGGTTCTAGGCTACATCCTGGCACCTCGTGGGCAGGCCCTGAACAATTCTTTCTCCCTCTGCAGTGTCTTAGATGATGAGGGCAGCAACCTGAGACAGCAAAAGCTTGATCGGCAGGTGAGTGAGGTTGGGGCTGGGTAGAAGGGCAGTCTGGGCTGGGATATCCCTCTTCCCTAGCTGATCCTGTCTGACACCTGGAGGAAGAGGTGTGCCCTCTCCTTTACCAGCTCAGTATTAATTCTGGCCTGGTACATGGGGCTCCTGCCAGGCAGGCAGCCAGGGTGACCACAGTTGAAGGGCTAAATGTCTGTGTCTGTGGAATCCTTCCACATGGACCAAGTTTTGCCTTCCTTTCTTGGACCCCAGATCTCAAGGTTCCAAGGACATAGGGCCTTGGCCCTGAGTGCACTGTGGATCCCACTGTAACCTCTAGAACCCAACCAAACAAGCAGGGCACTATCTCTGGTCCAAGCCTGGGAACCTATCTGTCCTGGTGGACGTAGTGAGTCAGCCAGTCTCTGTACCTGCCCTATGTCCCCACAGCGAGCCCTGTTGGAGCAGAAGCAGAAGAAGAAGCGTCAGGAGCCCCTGATGGTGCAGGCCAATGCAGATGGGAGGCCTCGGAGCCGGCGGGCCCGGCAGTCGGAGGAGCAGGCCCCCTTGGTGGAGTCCTACCTCAGCAGTAGCAGCAGCACCAGCTACCAAGGTACACCCTGCCTGCCGCTCCAGGGACAGCCAGCCCAGGGAGACCCCTGCACTGTGGCTCCACATCCTGACACTGCTTTGGGGAGCCCCTCAGGGACTTGCTGCCGACCTGGGCAGGTGAGGGGCTGGCCCTGTCAGGGTGTGCCCATCCCCAGGCTGAATGTGGCTTCCAGCCCAGCTGGGACCATGAGTGGGGTTTGTAGAGGGAAGCTAGGACCTGTAGCCTCGGGCTCCAGCCATGTGTACAAGCTGTCACCTGAGTCAGGTGCTTCAGTACAAAAGATCCAAAATCTTATGGATCCAGGAATTCAAAAATCCAGGTTTCTGATCTGGAGCATTTTATTGAGGGCAAGTTGCCACCAGGATTCCCTGCCAGGATGCCACCTCCTAAGAGAAATCTATCTCTTACCAGCCTGTGTCACACCAGCTAATGCCTCTGGGGACACCCATTTCCTTTCTTCCCTGAGCTCCCTGCACCCTCAGTCTGACCTGCAGGTCTCTGACCCCTGCTCATAATTGCTTAGAGCTATAGTGATCTACAGGCTCCAGCTCCCATTCTTATTCCAGTTCTCAGCAGAGCCCACTTGGAGGGGTTTCTGCAGCTTGGGAGGGGGGCGGCTTTGTTGTATCCCTCCCTCTGGAGGCTCCCTTCTGCTTAGGTTAGGGTGAGAGTCCCCTAGGCTAGACTGAGGGTTGGTCTTTCAGCTTGAAAGAGGTACTTAGATTCAGTCACCACTGCCCCCTGCTGGTGTCAGTAAACTAGGCAGCCACGTCATTAAAGAGTACCTGTAAGTTTTCCGCATCTGGCTCTTGCAGTTGGGAAGAACCTAAGTAACCATGGTCCCTCCCTTCTTCTGTGGTTCTTCTGTGACCTGGAACCAACAGCCACTCTGAACTGCGGGGAGTGACCGCACCTCGGAGGCTGACCTTGTTCTAACTGCTGGCCCAGTCCCTGCTCCACAGTGTTCCAGGTTATTTTCCGTGTTCCTCGAACCTAGCCCCAAGCTCACCAGGCTCTCTCTTCTGTGCCTCAGAAGGTAGTGATTGAGTCTCATTCACCTGGTGCCCCGGCTGGGACTTGGCACACTGTGTGAGCCCAGTCCCTGTGTGAGCTCCTACCCTCTGAGGAACCCACCTAGTTCCTACAGTAAAGGCTATCTTTGGGCATTGCCAGTGGCTAAGCATAGCTTGAGATGCTTGACTTGAGTTACCTCCTTTCCTACAAACTAACCCAATGTCCTCACATGCTCCATAAGGACATGGGCTCTGAGGGGTTCAGTGACTTGCTCACAGTACACTGCTAGTGGACAGTGGGGCTAGTCTTCATGCTCAGGCCTGTCAGACTCCAAATGGTCCTTCCACCATATTACATTGTCTTCTTGATAAAAAGCTCCTTCATGGAATTCCCTACACGTATCTCAGTTCCTCCCTCTAGGCCAGGGGTCCTCAAACTTTTTAAACAGGGGGCCAGTTCACTGTCCCTCAGACCACTTTAGGGCTGGACTGTGGGCCCAAGATGAGTCAGCTGCTAAGCAGGACAGGCGGTGGTGGCAAAAACACCCGGCGGGGCAGATAAATGTCCTCGGTGGGCCACATGTGGCCTGTAGGCCGTAGTTTGAGGACCCCTGCTCTAGGCCATACCCAGTGTATCTCTACTCCACTCCAGAGGCCCTTTAGAAAAGGGGACAAGGACCTCATCCCAGCTGTTTTAGAGAGGCAGCCCCAGCTGTTCCTCATAGAAAAGGCCCTGTTCCCCTTTTCCTGGCAGCCACCTGCCCCACTTCCTCTGTGCACTGTCTGGGGAGTAGTGGTGTGCCCTGCAGGGAAGGCAGCCTGTTTGGGGGTCCCCAGGACCCTCACCACCCCAGCTCTGTTGAGCCTGGCACCTCACTGTTCAAGGCTGTGCATAGGGGGAACCTGTGCCCAGCACTTTGGGCCCTGCCAGTTTGTGCCAGAGGCTAATCATTGATGTGCAATCATTTTGGCTCTGTTTCATGAGCAGCAGGCATGGCCATGCAGGGAGAGAAGAAGCGCCTCTGGGGAAAGCGTAGGGCTGAAGTCAGAAGATAGTCTCTGGTGGTGCCACTGACAGCTTTACCTGCTCACTTATGACTGTTGTAAAGCCACTTACCCCCCTGGGCCATTTCATCTACTATAACATGAGAGAAATTCACTGTCTGAAGGCTTTGGAAATTGAAGGATCCATGGTGTGTTCCAGGGTCCAAAATCAGCTGATTGCCGTTTCCTGCTGAGATTCTAGACCAGCCTGGGCCTTGCCCACAAGGGACATTTGAACATGTGATACTTGACTTCAGGAGGTGCATACTGCTTCTCTGGGGGCCCAGTCTTTGTCAGCTCCTGGTGGTGGACAGAGCCCTGGGGAGGCTGCTGCGCACATGCACACCTGACAAGCCTGGGATCTGGTGTCCTAAGGCCACGTCCACTCCACCAACAGCATTAGCTGCCTCCTGCTCTGCCCTCTGCTGGCCATTGGTATTAAATACAGGGAGATTATTCCAAGAGGAAAATGAGGGTGTTTGACATACATCTGAGATGGCAATTTATCCTGGTAAAGCTTCTGACTGTGCTCATTTATGTTACAGATTCATTCCTTTCTCAGATATTTATGGAGGGCCTATTTTGTGTTAGGCTGTGGATCAGGGACTAACATAGTGCAGTGGTCCCAAGTGAGCACAAATGGGTATGGTCTCTGCTCTCATGGACCTTACAGTGTTCGACAGATGGTCATAGGTACTCTTTATGGAAAGCAGCCAGGTTCTGTGAGTAGATGACAAAACGCCCACTCTACGGAGTCAGGGACAGCCTCTCTCAGGAAGTGATGCCTGAGCTGAACTCTGCAGGGTGAATAGGAGTTAGTCACATAGGGCAGGGTGGTGCAGGCAACAGGAGCAGCTAGAGCAAGGGCCCTGTGGCAAAGGGGTCCAGTATGTGCAAGGCACTGAAAGAGCCCGGTGTGTATGATTAGACCAAGGGGATGGGAAGGAATCTTGGTTTTCATCTTGAGAACATTAAGAACCCACTCAAGGATTTTGAGCAATTCTACAGGCACCTTTGGAGGCCACTGGCTGTGACCCTTCTGAGTCCTCAGTGTTGGCGTGTGTAGCTCCTTGTATCCCAGAGTTGTCCTTCCTCAGGGTGCCACTACAGCCAGGGACCCTGGGCCATCCCCCATGTGTCTACCTGGAACCCTTGCCCCAGTTGTGGTCTCTTCTGTAAGATGCAGCCTTTGTTCTCTTCCTCCCCTATCTCCCATGACCCACATGCTCAGAGATCAGGGGCCCCCTCCCTGTCCAGGCTCAGAACAGTTTGCTTCCCCAGAACTGTGATTACTCTGCTTCTTGGCTGATCAGTTTTGGCCTGGCTGTTGACTTGATTACAATAGGCTGTGATGCCATCTCCTGGCTGGGCCTACCCTGGGACCTTTGCTTGGTAGAAATGCAAGTGGCCTGGAAGGGGGTACAAGGGCTCTAGTGGGGCTTAAGTGTTAGGTGTCAAGGGGGCAGGGTTTGAGAAATGCTCTGTTGGCAACTGTTCAAATGGGAGCTCTGGTCTCATCCAGTGTCCAATTCTGTTCTCTCTCTCTCTCTCTCTCTCCTCTCCTGAGCAGTTCAAGAGGCCGACTCACTCGCCAGTGTGCAGCTGGGAGCCGCCCATCCCACAGCACCAGCCTCAGCCAAGAGAACCAAGGCATCAGCCACGGCAGGGGGCCAGGGTGGGGCCTCTAGGAAGGAGAAGAAGGGAAAGCACAAAGGTTAGCTGCCTTCTTGCCTCTTCTGCAGTCCCCCCGTCCCCCAGGAGGCCTGTCCTCTCCTAACTTGGAGGTGAGGGATGGGATGAGTAGCCTCAGGGAAGACAAGGATTGGCACTGAGCTGGCTAAGAGGCCTCATCTAGGTCATGATGTGCCTGGGCTTGCCTGTGAGCACAGGGTGGCCCTCCGGGAAGTGAAGTCCAAGTCAACTCAAAAGGTCCAGGACCACCCTTCCCCTCACACCCAACCTTGGCCTGAGTACCCTCTATCCTGACCCCTCCAGGATGTCACTCGGCCAGGGTGAAGACATTCCTTTCAGTGAGGGCTCTGTGCCTCCCAGGCAGCCTGCCACATCCTCGTGCAGTAATGCCAGCTCCTCCTCGTGATGTGGGCTTCCTGCAACAACCTACTCTAGTCCTGATTCCATCCTTTGGGCCACAGATCAGTCTGTTCCTTCTGCTCCTCTCTCTCCAAAAGAGATCCTTAGAGATCAGCAATAAGGATGGTGGCCCTTGCCTTGAGTCCTGTCTCCTGGCTAGATCCCCAGTTTCCTCAAACCTTATTCATGGGTAGTAATTTCAAAGCCACTGTGTCATGGTTGGACAGTGATGTGGCAGGGTCCATGGGCTTCTGGAGCTGGCCCAGCCCTCTGGGTGTAGCTCAGCATTGACTTAGGCAGGAAAGTCAATGTGGGAAAGGAGATCCTTTACTTAGGAAGGAGAGTATATGCCAACCACACTCTTTTTCAAGGGTCCCCGTGTGTTTTTAATGATGTGTGTGTTACTGTGTGTGTATGTGTGTGTGTGTGTGAGAGAGAGAACACCAGCGTGGATAACTTGTAGCTAGCCATGTCTGTGACCATTGTTGACCTCAGCTATAGTCTGGATCAATTCTTGTTCTCTGTCATGTTTTTTTCCACTGTGCAGTTGGTTTTGTAGATGGCTACCATCTGCCTTAAGGATGTGGGTGTTTCAAACCAACACTCAGCAATTAATGTGGGGGACGAGCAGAAGAAACGAAGCCCACATCACTTCACAGCTTACTAGTTGCTAACAGCCCGCAGCAGTCATTAGTTTTTTAAAAATCAATTTTGCAAGTAAAGTTTTGCAGAGGGTCTCCCCATCCATCCCTCACCCTCTTCATGGATGTCTAAGAATCCAGGCCCTTCCCTCCTCCTCCTGGATGTAACTCAGGAGTGTCCATGGCCTGCAGGCACCAGCCAGCCAGCAGCACTGGCAGAAGACAAGTCTGAGGCCCAAGGTGCGGTGCAGATCCTGACTGTGGGCCAGTCAGACCACGCCCAGGACGCAGGGGACACGGCAGCTGGTGGGGGCACTCAGCCCAGCGGGCAGGATCTCCGTGCCACGATGCAGAGGAAGGGTGAGCCCTGTGGGGGCCCAATGACACCCTGCAAAGCTCAGCCCCAGGTTCTCAGATGCACCTTTCTCTGGGAGCTTGGCCTCCCTTTGTTCTAGCCCTCCCTGGCCATGTGGGATAGGGGGCACACTTGGAGACAAATGAGAAACTTATTGGCAGGGGACCCTGATAAGGCCAAGTTAAGGGAAGGAAGTGTCAACTGGGGTAACCAACCCATAGCCCAGGCCTATCTCCCCACCCTTGCCCCACATTCATCTCCTGCTCCTAGGGAGGCTAATTTGGGGGCAGATTTGCTTTCCCTTCTGCTCCTTAGAAAAAACTCCTTTTATAAAAAGTATTCCATGTGTCTGCTACACTGGAGGAGCAAAACCAAGATTCCAGGCAGGGTAGAACTTCCTGGAAATAAGCTGCCCAGTGTCCCCACCAGGAGCCCTGCTGTAGGGGGGGCCCCTGGTGCTTGGTAGCAGAGGAAGAAGCCTAGCAGTGCCACACACATTCTGGGAATCTAATCAAGGATGGCTTCTTGGAGAAAGGGCTACTGAGACAACTCAGGGATGGGGGTGGCATTCTAGGTAGGGTAGGGTAGGGATAAAACACCTGAGACAGAGCTCAAGGCAGGCTAGGGGGAAGAGGAGGGCTGAGTAAGGAGGTGAGGACTGTTCCCTGGCAGATTCTATGGCCTGTGCCAGTCAGGACCTCTAATAGGCCCAATGTCAGAAACAGAGCTTCCCAGTGCAGGGTCAGCTCAGTGCAGGCCTTGATATGTAGAAGACAGTGCCAATTTGACTGTTAGGAGGGGCTGATGCAGTGACTGAGCTGAAACTGGGTGGTGGGAATGTATCCTGAGGATTATGACCAGCCCCAGCTAATGTGTGCACCCGAGAGAATGTGTGTCTTTGTGTCTAGACACATGTAGGAGTTTATTCGTGAATGTGAATATGTGTGTATATAAGTGTGGGTCTGTGAATGTGAGTCTCTATGTGTGTTTCAGGGCATACTTTCCACTCACTGACCCTTTCCTGTTCTCTGCTGGGCCCAGGCATCTCCAGCAGCATGAGCTTCGAAGAGGAAGAAGAGGACGAGGATGAGAACAGCTCCAGCTCCTCCCAACTAAATAGCAACACTCGCCCCAGCTCTGCTACTAGCAGGAAGTCCACCCGGGTGAGTAAGGAGCTTTTATTCATAGCGGGAGTGAGATGGCAGTGTGCAGAAGGCTGTTCGTCTAAATTAGAGGTGGAGAACGTGTGAAAAAATGGTGGGGAGCTGGCTCTTCTGGGGCCAGGGCTAGACCTAGATGCTTGTCAAGACCATCTGTGGCTGGACCCTCCTGCCCTCCCTCCTAATGTCTTCAGCCAGGCCAGGGGGCTGGGGAGAGCTGGAGTTGGGCAGGATGACCTCTGGGACTGAGGAGAAGGACAGGCTGGGAGGATAGCTCCTGACTCTGAGGCCAGGATGTTCAGGCCCACTTCCCAGGGATCCTGCCATATCTTCTATCACCACCACCACATCAGGAGGTAGATTTGGACCCCAGATCACCAGTTTTGTCTCCTTAGGGTCCCTGGGGCTCAGGCTTCTACTCTCTTCCCCATAGGAGGCAGCCTCAGCCCCCAGCCCAACAGCCCCAGATCAACCAGTGGATATTGAGGTCCAGGATCTTGAGGAGTTTGCACTGAGGCCAGCCCCTCAGGGTATCACCATCAAATGCCGCATCACAAGGGACAAGAAGGGGATGGACCGGGGCATGTACCCCACCTACTTCCTGCACCTGGACCGCGAGGATGGGAAGAAGGTGAGGTTGGTGTGGGCATGTGTTTATATCTGGGACAGGCTGGTATTCCTGCAGGCTAGAATATGACTGAAGACCTCAGATCCAACACTTACTTCTCAGTTCCCCAAAGAAACAGGCTCTGTGCCTGGCCATTGCGTACCTCTGTATGTGTGCCAGTGCATTTGTGTGTGTGCACATATATGTGTTTGGGAGCTGACACCAGGGAGAGTCATTCGTGTGAGTGGCCCCGTGATTGTGTGGGGACCAGAGACCAGCTCTGGATTGTGACATTGCTCTATTCTCCAAGGTGTTCCTTCTGGCGGGAAGGAAGAGAAAGAAGAGTAAAACTTCAAATTACCTCATCTCTGTGGACCCAACAGACTTGTCTCGAGGAGGGGACAGCTACATCGGGAAACTGCGGTACCAGGGCTCCCCCAGGAAGCAGGGTGTGGGGAGGAGCACAGGCAGCCTCTTTGTAGAGGACACCTCGTGTCCCTGAAGTAGATCTAGGCTAGGATTGGATCCTGTACCAGGATCCACTCTCTTCACCAGATCCAACCTTAGGCCTAGGTCTTTGCCCAGCCTAGACCCAGACTTAGAGAAGGGCCCCTACTGTAAGTTACTCCCAGGCAGGTGGATACAGATCCGCCAGGCATCATGGATCAACCTCCAGGATGTCATTGATGATGCAGGCCACCACGGAGGATCTGCCTTGGTCCTGTGGGCAGTGCCAAGAGGCAGGGCTGAGTACGCCTCTTGAGGAAGAGTGGCAAAAATTGGGGAGCTCAGGGGGGAGAGGGAGAGGCAGGAAGGCTCTGAGCTAGGTCTTAGTGGGGAGGAGCTGAAGAACAGAGCACCAGCCTTGGGAAACATCACTAGAGGTGAGGTAAGGAGCTAAAGCTGGGAATAAGGCTGGATGGGACTGGTCGTGCTACAGACTTAACAGGCACTATTCTGCTTGCTCTCCATGAAGGGAACACACCGATTCCCTCAGGGAAACCTCCTTCCTAGTTTACCTCCCCAACTTGCCCTCCCTGAACTGAGATGCCCGTGAGTCTTCTCAGAGCAAGTCTGGGCCTCTGACCATAAAGTACCTTCAAAGATGTGGATTCAGTGAACAGCGAGCCCCTGGGTTGGCTCCTGTCCCAGCTGAGAATGCTTTGTAGGTGCCTCATAGGGCAGACTATGTTCCCTGTCCTGGGGCATCTAGATGGTGCATGGCCCATATTGATTGTGCCTTCCCTTCAGATCCAACCTGATGGGCACCAAGTTCACCGTTTATGACAATGGAGTCAACCCTCAGAAGGCATCATCTTCTACTCTAGAAAGTGGGACATTGCGTCAGGAGTTGGCAGCTGTGTGCTATGTGAGTCCCGGGTTCCTGGGTCTCTGGTCTTCCAAGTTAGACATGAAACCCAGGACTTGTTGCTTGTTCTGGGGTCATCCCATCGATCTTGATGGGTAGATAGGAATGTGTAGAGAGGGCCTGTCTTCTATGGAATGACCCCTGCCTGGGACAGGGGCCCTGGCCCTCTCTTCCTTCTGTCTTCAGAGCTCACACCAGCACTGACCATCTGCCTGGGGAGTTCTGGGAACCAGGTCTGGCTCTCTGCAGTCCAGCCCAGTAATCTCCTGGACAGGAGGAGGCAGGAGGCTTAGATCTTTTTTGTGCATTTCCCAAATCCAGAATGGCAGGTCCTACATGGGTTATAGGCCCTCTGCATAATCATCTCACTAAATGCTCGACCTAAAAGGTAGATCCTATTTTCTTACAGATGACAAAACTGAAGCTTAAAGGTTGAGTCACTTGGTAACATCATGCAGCTCATAACTGAATACAATGTAATCTAAATATAGGGGCTACCTCTACCTCTTTGAACAGCAGTTTCCTCATTTTTAAAATAAAGGATGATTGCCCCATCCACCTTGGCAATAGCACTTGGAGGCTTTGGGGACGCCACAGCTATTTTTGTATGTTCTGATGGTGCCACCTACTGGTCAGTTTGGGGGAGGTAGCCTGAATCTTGTCTTCTAAGTACTTCCTGAGCCCAACTGTTTTCCAGATACTGTTCGGGGAACTAAGAATGCAGTGAACAGACATAAATTTATACCTTTATGGGACTTAAAGCTGTAGTAGAATAGACAAGCTACAGAGGGTGGTCTGAGTTCGTGTTTACATTTCACACAAACTTCATGTCCACCCCGTATGCTAAGAAGAAAAAGTAGGGAAGGTGAGATATGAAATGTCACATGTACATGAGACTATAGGAAAGATGATAGGGAGGGCCTCACTGAGGTAGCTCTTGAGTAAAGTCCAGAAAGAAGTTAAAGCCAGCCATGAACATGTCTGGGGGACACAGCAAGCTTGGCATGAAGGAGGAATGAGTGAATGCATGAGAGAGTATATGGGGAGGAGAGTGAGACGACGGGGTCACCTCTCCACCTTTCACCCTGAGCAAGCTGGGGAGCTGTGGGGTTTTTGAGCAGGGAGAGGACAATCTAACTTAACAGAACTACCTGCTGCTGTTGAGGACAGACGGTAGAAGGGGGATGGGGGGAGCAAAGGACAGAAACAAGGAGTCAGTCCAGTTAAAGGCTGCTATAGTGTTCCCAGCGAGAGACAGTGGTGGTGGAAGTGCTGGAATTCTAGGCATAATCAAAAGGTAAAGCTGACAGAAATCGCTGATGGATGAGAAGTAGGGTATGAAAGGGAAGAGTCAAGTATGGCTCCAAGTAGTTTGCTCCAACAAATGGAAGAGCTGAGTTGCTGTTTACAGAAGCCAGGAAGACTGTAAGAAGCACTAGTTTGGCAAAGTAGAGATCCCAGAGCTCAATTCTGGACACGTTAAGTTTAGAGATGCCTATAGTGGAGATGGTGAAACCAGCTCTTCCTAAGTACTCCCTTCCCTAGTCTCTCCAGTAGATAAGTGGACTCCTCGGTTGTGCAGTGTTGAGTTCTCTCTCTGTTTCCCAGGAGACAAATGTCTTAGGCTTCAAGGGGCCTCGGAAGATGAGTGTGATTGTCCCGGGCATGAACATGGTTCACGAGAGAGTGTCTATCCGCCCCCGCAACGTGAGTCTTTGTCTCACCCTTTCCCCTTCCCCATCATTGTAGCCTGTGTGTGAGCGTCTAAGGCCAGAACTCCAGCTGGTGTGTTTATGTGGAAGTCTAGGGAAATCTAAGCACCCCCATTCCTGGGACATATGCTCTTTGGGGTGGTCATGGTGGTAAGGCCTGGACCAGGCTCAGGTGAGGCTGCCCTCCCAGGAGCATGAGACACTGCTAGCACGCTGGCAGAATAAGAACACCGAGAGTATCATCGAGCTGCAAAACAAGACACCTGTGTGGAATGACGACACCCAGTCTTACGTACTCAACTTCCATGGGCGCGTCACACAAGCCTCCGTGAAGAACTTCCAGATCATCCATGGCAATGACCGTGAGTGCTTCTGCCCCTACTTATTACTGTCCACATGGTATCTGGGGCCCTTAGCTTAGAGTTCAGCTCACCTAGCCCTGCTTACGGTGTCTAGAGTTTAGGGACATGAGCTGTATGACTTAGATTAGATGTAAAGAACTTTCTAAACATAATGACTGGGAGACCCTGGAAGAACTTTGTTTGGAGCCCTGGTCCTAGATTCTGTAAACTCAGCAGAGTCTCAGGAATGGGAATAGCCTTTAAATGGACTTTTCCTCCTCTTCTCTGTCTCCTGGTGTTTGTACGCATCTCACTTTTCTCCTTTGCGGCCTCTCTCCTGCCACTTTTCCCAACTGACCTTTGTTTTACCTCCTTGGGGATTCCCTTGGTATCTATGCTTATTGCTTTTTCTTCCCTCTTGTGGTTTGGCTGTCTGTCTGTCCTTCCCTATCTCTACCATTCCTGCTCTGTCCTTCTGTTTCCTTCTCCATCTGTGCCTGTGCCTGGCCCCAGCGGACTACATCGTGATGCAGTTTGGCCGGGTAGCAGAGGACGTATTCACCATGGATTACAACTACCCGCTGTGTGCGCTGCAGGCCTTTGCCATTGCCCTCTCCAGCTTTGACGGCAAGCTGGCCTGTGAGTAGAGGTCTCCTCGTGCCCTTTGGGGTTGCCCAGCCTGGAGCGGAGCTTGCCTGCCTGCCTGCCTGCCTGCGGAGACAGCCCTGCCTACCCTCTGTACATAGGCCTTCTGCCAGATGAAGCTGTGGCCCTCAGTGGGTTCCTTGGTCCAGCCAGCCAGGAACTGGCTCCTCTGTCTCTGCTGCTGAGGCAGGGGAGTAGCAGAGAGTGGGTGGGTGGGTATGAAGGGACAAAAGTAATTATGTCTGTGCCCCAAGATGAAACTGCCTGCCCTGCTCTTGGGTTAGTATTGTGCTGCATTCATGTTAGCCAAGCTGAGCAACCTCTTCAGCTGGGAAGGCTGAAAGAGGTATGGGCAGAGGAAGCACAATACAGGGCTGCTGGGGTCCAGGAGTCAGATGACAACAGGCACCACAACAGGTGGGGGCACAGTGAGTGTGTGTAGGACATACTAACTTTACATAGCGAAGGGGTTGGTGGCTGAGTCTGACATAACAGCTGCAGAAAGCCCTCTAACTTCAAAAGGCCACCACCAGGCTTAAGAGAAGTTAGGAGGATGGTAGGGACAGGTGAGTGGTAGGACCTTGCCAGATTGCAGGGCCTGGCTGTCTGTGGCTGTGGGAATCAGCTAGTGGCCTATTGTTCTAGCTCATTTGATTTCTCTAGGTTTTCTCTGTGCTCGCAGAAGTAGCAGGAACCTAGCTCTCAAGGCCAAATGTCTTAGCAGATGAGGCCTGCAGGATACAGGCTCAGCACAAAGAAGGTGCATGAACAGGCTCCCTGGATTGGGGTTGTCTTGGCAGCCCTGTCAACTGCCCCAGGAGCTCTCTGCTGAGCAGCCCCAGCACAACCCCCAGAAAACGTAGATGGGGTCCAGTTCACCAGCCCAAACGCACACAGCTAGGCGTGCCTAGGATTCTTGCAGGCAAAGCACCATTCCCAAACCATGGTATGCTCCAGAAGAATCGCCTCTCTGGAGAGAGCCAGTTCCCACTGCTGTCAGCCAAATTGTGGTTGGTTAGGGCTTCTATGTGTGATTCTTCTTGGGAGGGAATATTTTAGAACCACAAGAGATCAGAGAGAGGTGGTAGGACCCTTAGGGATCAATTAGTACAACCATGTCACTTTAGGTCAATCACACCGGAAAATGGGATTTTCCCTGGATCACCTCACTGGTTAATGGCAGAGTTCAGAATATCTAATTCCCTGATTTCTTTGTTCCCATTGTCCCCTGAGAAACTAGTATCTCTGGCTCAGTAGCCTTATGCATGCCCTCCCCACTTTCTCTGATTCTGGATCTTAGAGACTTAGAAACGTCAGAGTTGATGTGTTAAGACTGAAACCATTGCAGAAGGAAATCAGGCAGCTCCCTGTTGAAAGTTGTCTGGCTTTTTGCATGTCCATTTGATCAGGATTGGCCATGCCTGGCCCCTCCGCAAGGGCTGCTCCACCTTGAGCAGGCCTCAGCAAGGCTGATGCACATTTCTCTGTCTGGGTGTGACAGCGTGAGTGTGAACATTCAGGGGCTGGGCCTGATTGCTCCGTCTACCGCCACTGCTACTTCTCCTTCAGGCACTGTCCTCCCTTCAGGCTTGGGAACTCTAAGCCTAAGTTCTTGCCCATTTATCATTTACCCTGGCAGAGGCTTCTTGTCCAGACAGAGCTAAAATCAGTGGAAAGCAAGCAGGGTTTGTACCTTGCTTTAGAGTAGATATGCTTGGAAAGGCTAAGTAAACATGTTAGTGAAGCTCTACAGGCGAAGGAGTTGTTTTGACTTAAATGGAAGTAGTGTGCTCTCATTGCTTTGCAGTCACAGTTTTCCTATGTTGAATGCTAAAGCAAGGCATACCTGTTCTAGCAGGATCTGCCCACGCCTCAGCCATCCATGTGGGAGAGGCCCCTCCAATAATTAGCTTTTGTTAACATGGTCGAGTTCTAGAGGGCGCTGGAATTTCCTTTGCCAGGGCTAGTGAAATACTGTGGTGCCATCCTCATTTCTATAGTTCTAGTTTGGCCCCTCCTTCCCTGACATTAAGAGAAGAGCTTAGTGACATTAGAGATGGTAGAAACTAGGTGATCTCTGAAGTCTGGTCAAGCTAATTCTCTGGGTCTATGGTTTGAAGGTAGAACAAGCTGATTCTGGCGTGTGGGGGTAGTAAAGGGCTGCTGGTAGCAAAATAGAAAAATCCGAAGCACAGTGGAAAAACTGGCTTCTGCTTTCTCCGTTAGTACACGGAAAAGTATTGGCTGGATACTTTGGTAGGATCAGGAAATGTGGGCCTAGCTTTCTTAGCCTGGGTTTGGAGAAGGGTAATCTCAGCAACAAAAACCTCTGCTGGGTATTGAGTGACAAGCAAGAGCAGTTGAATTACCTGCTTGCAACCCAGCTTCACAAGTTCTGCTTATAAGACTTCACTTCAGGGATGCTGCTTTTCCATGACTCCTGGCCATGGGCTCAAGAACTTATAAAGCTGCCAAGGCTCCTGGAGACCACCTGGGTGAGCCTCTCCCATAATAAGAGTTATTTCCCTTTGCACACTCTACCCCAGATGGTCCTTGAATGAGCAGGTGTATTGAATATGGAATGAGCAGTCCCTAAGGGTGTTGGGTAGCTGGGGTCTTAGGCAGCTTTTCTGTAACTGCTCCTGGCTCTGTGACTCCTGGAGCCACACCCCAAAACTCTATACCCTCTGCCCCAGAACAGTTCTCTTGCAGAGCAGAGAAGTTCAATTCCCTTACTCCAAGTCTAGCTTTTCTTTCCTTCTGGCTTCAAGGTGCTCTGTGTCTATCTGTGTCTGTCTGCGTGTCTGTGTGTATTTGGGGAAAAGGGCAATCAGCAAATAATCAGCTGAGGTTTATTATCACATTTCTAAGGATGAGCAGGAAAAGAATAAGCATGTAGTCATGATCATTTGTGGATTTTGTCTGTCTGTTTCATGCTTTTGGAACAGAAGCATACCTGGGAAATTACCAGCTCTTTCTCCCAGGGTTCTGAGCAAGAGGATAATACCATCCAAGAAAGTTAAGTTTTTCACTTCCCACTCTGCATTCCCTGAAGAAACTGGTATGTTGCATGTATGTTTTTGGATGAATTTGAACATAATCTAGTGAATGTGCCTTAAAAATCACGACACTAGTTCAGAGGACATGTGAGGTCCAGACCCATGACGAGGACGGGTGTTGGAAGCCAGGGAGTGCGATAATCACCGGGCAGGAGAGGTTTTGGAGGCTGCCTCCAGTGACAAGTAGAGCAACACAAGTGCAGAAGCAGAAGTTTTTCTTCATTCTGAGAGTAGTAGGGTGCTTCTCTCTAAATAAACCTAGCATTTATTTAGAGGTAGCTCTATATTTAACAAGCAAGAGAGATGATTTCAAAGGAAAAGTTCCAGGCTTTGTTCAGAATGGAGTCTGCAGTGAGGGGAGATGCCAGGAAAGCCGTGTCCGTGGCTCTGTTATGCAAGCACAAATTCTATCTCCTAGATGGGTCTCCGGGTGTTCCCTTACTGCTGTAACACTGGCCTTCCCTTCTCTATAATTTCTTGCCACAGCTGTGACATCCCTGTATGACCTCAGGATGTCAGGTGGCCCCCAGAGCACATGTTTTCCAGATAGCTGAGTGATTTGGCTTTCATGCAGTGCCCTACACTGTGACTGGGGCCTTGACTATTCTTTAGTTAGGACCCAGAATTGGGACTCTCCACTGCCCTGGGCCCTGGTTTATGAACCTGTAGCAGCCCCTAGGAACAGGCCAAAGGATGGGCTCTTGTTTGAGTTTATAAGCTACCTGTCCTTACATGCCTCTAGTTTGCAATTTTCTGTCATCTCAGCATATGGGGGGAGGGGCAGAAGTATTGGAACAGATTAGGTTTTTAAATTAAAAACCAAATGAAGAAGCAAGTTAGTCTTACAGAAAGCACCACTGCGCTTTATAGCTATGTGATATTGAGCAAACTATGTTAACATCTCCAGGTCCATTTCCTTAACTGCAGGATGCAGATGTTGGCCTGTCAAAGCTTGCTCTTGCTGTAGGATTCAGGGTGAATGAAAGGTACTCCTTGCTTTCATCACTACCTTTTCTAACTCATCACTGTGCCTTTTTTCTTTCTTAAGAAAGACATCACAACCCTCTCCTCCTCCGTGCTCTTGTCCCTCCCTCCCCTATCAAAGTCCAGGCATAGCTGGAGTTGACGCTGAGATACAGAGTTTCCTAGAGGGCAACTTAGAATGAATTAGAAAGGGAAGCCCAACTCTGGTCTCTAATCTTGCATTTGGTGACAAAGGGGACTTGGTCAGGATGGGTGACGTTTCTCTTGCTGGGAATACACATTTAGCCACTTTTCATAATGCCTAGAAAATGTATGTCTATTTGCACAAGATTGTCTTTTCCTATTTTGGAGTGGTCAAACATTTTATTTTTGTTCAACATTATCTGGAGTTTTAGACAAATTTGCAAAACTGTGCTTTTATTAAGTGACTTTTTGAATAAACTCTTTGGTATTCTGGAGCAAATGTATTTATTTATTGGTATGTGCAATGACAAACGGTATTTTCCCATGTTGACATTATGTATGTTGTAGAATTTTAGTGTTTGTCTTAAGTACAGACATATATCAACAAATTAAACTTGAACTGTTTCAACACTTCTGTGTACTTTTTTCATAAAATGAGAAAGACATGTCTCTTTTTCCAAAGGTCTTTTTCTACACCATTCATTCAGTGTTTCCTAGAAGCCTGGGCTGGGTGGTAGTAACAAAGAGATCATAGTTTGTTTAGAACCAAGTACTTGTAGGTAAAAGCTCTCCCTCTGGCCAACACTTTCAAGTTTAAAGATCATCAGAATCACACTGTGAGGCAAAGAAGGGCTTGGAAAATGGTGAGGTTAGAAGGTAGCTAACAGGGTCTGCTGTGCTTATAGGAATGGGTTGGTGGTTCTGGGGTATCCCATAAGGGCCTGGTCTTTAGGAACAGGATGGGACTGTAGAGCTAAAGGTAGAAAAGATGCAGTTGGCAGATATAACATGAAGACCCAGCCACTTGATTCCTCTGGCCTTGCTCAGAGCCTAATCAGTTTAAGTAGGACTTGAACATGCTTGAGAATCTTTTTCAGCTTGTTGCAGATTTACAGCCAAGAGGAAGAAAGCTAATGGTCCTATCCAGAGGGAGGAGGTTACAACGTCATGAAGTCACCTAGAGACTGCAAAATGGCTCTTGAGCCATTCTTGGCAGTCAGTGTAGCTTAGAGGGTGTCAAATGCAATAGCCACTAGTACAGGGCTTGACAATGAAGTGATGCTGCTACTGATGATGCTGTCATCAAGAGCACACGTCCCATGCTTCACCCTGGGATACACACTTTATAAATAAGGAATGACCTGAGAAAATGGAGTCCTATTTTCTTTGTATTAAAAATTGGGAAAGAAAAGAAAATGGAGGACAAGTATATTATAGAAAGGTTAATGGTTATGGTAATTAGGAGGATTTGTCATTTATTCTGTGTCATTTAGAATTCTGTGTGACCCAGAGCATTTCTTACCTGAACCATGGCCTATCTCTTAGGGCCTGTGCAGGAAATAGCATACATATGCAGGATATTCTAAAAAGGAAAGAGGGTTTTGTATGTTTAGTCATCAGCCTGAAGAAAAATCTTAAATGACCATAGACAGAGTAACCATCTGTCTAGAATAGTCTTAGTTTATGCCTATTATCTTAGCATAATTATTTTTAAATCTCCCTTTTTCCAAAGTGTTCAGGTTTGGACCATAAGTTATTTAATCACTCAAGCCATAGAGGTGTAGAGAGTGTGGTTCTCACAGGCTACTGTTTCTATAGGCCAAATATATCTCTGCTCCTCAGCACACCTCCCTGGGCCTACCTTCTGGAACTTACATATCTCTAGTCATATAGCTAAAATGAGGTACTTTGTGACCAGGAAAGAGGATCTCCTGGCTAGATCATCCACCTGATTTACCAAGCATGGTCCCGGAAGAAGCATTTGTTTCCTAAGCTAACTGTCCATGTGTCATCTGCCACAGTGCCCAAAGACCAAGGGGGACTGGTCAAGTTCACAGCTCCCTAGTTCTGAGAAAAAAAGACTGTGAGGAAAGACCAACCATAGCAACAAAAACCAGTTTATGATTGGTCACCCTGGGTTGTATATACATACATAATGTCATCCCTGAAAGATAAATGATTTGGGGAAATCCAAAAAGGACTGTCTAAATCCTAAATGATTGAAGATTTATCAAAATTTCTCATATATATACAGCTATATTCCTGATATACAGTCCAACCAAGGACTAGGGCAGAAGAGCCATCATGAAGGGCTTAGTACTTCTGGCATGAACTATTTTCATAATTCAATTTTTCCCAAAGACTAACATTTAAAATAAAGAGCTAATTATGTAACACTTTACATACCATCCTCATCAAAATATGGGAACATCTGTATACTTTCACAACCTACTGCTTTTTCCATCACCATTCTTTTTTTTTTTTTTTTTTTTGAGACAGAGTCCCAAGCTGTTGGCCTGGGTAGAGTACAGTGGTATCACAACTCACAGCAACCTCAAACTCTTTGGCTTAAGCAGTTCTCCTGCCTCAACCTCCCAAGTGGCTGGGACTACAGGCACCTACCACAACACCCGGCTATTTTTTTGTTGCAGTTGTCATTGTTGTTTAACTGGCCCAGGATGGGTTCGAACCCGCCAACCTCGGTGTATGTGGCTGGTGCCATAACCACTGTGCTACAGGCACCGAGCCTCCACCACCATTCTCACTGCCAAAAATGTCCTTTCTCTTCCTTGTCCACCTGGAAAAGTTCTTAGCACCCCTCAAGGCCCACCTTCTCTGTGAAACTTCTTGGAAGTACTCTGGCAAGAATAATTTTTCTTTCCTTAATGCTCCTGGGTCCATATCTCAATTACAGGATAGACCCTTGTTTCATAAAAGTAAAGTAGCACTTGAGTGCTTATCACATGTGAGCTAGAACCTATGCCATTTTACATACCCTTATTTAATCCTTATAACAACCCTATGAGACCTGGACTTTGGTTACCCATATTTTACAAGTGGTTGAGGAAGCCAAAGCTCAGACCAGTTAAGGAACTGACCCAAGATCCTAAAGCTAGAATACACAGGGACAGGGCATGATTCACATTTCTCTGCTTGCAGAATTCATGATCCTTAGCCCTCTTCATAGTTCATTTATCTATCAGGCTCCCATGTTAAATTGAGTTTTTTAAGTGTAGAAATTGGGATTTGTGTTCCTAGCACCTAGCCCGGTAGCTGTCTACTAAATGAACAAACAAACAATAAGCTAGATGGAAACAAAAGTACTTATCTCTAATAATGGTACTGTATCCTAAGGCAAAAAAATTTAAGCCAAGGACCCAAGGCTTTCCTTAGAAATCAATCCCTCCTGGTAAATGAAGGGAAATAACACAGAAAACAACCTATGGAAACAATAAAAAGCATCTATATCATTATTTCGGGTATATTATATCTAGATTGTCATCAGTACATTTTAAACTGCATTCTTTACAATGTAAATCAAATATTCTACAAAGAGATAATTTACTTTCTATAAACTCAATCTTCAGTGACTTTTCTCTGTTGTTCACTTGAGAAGTGCCTAATAGTAGCTAACAGGTTATCTTACTATGATCTGAACAGCAGTCTATATGCTTATAGTGTGACTTTTAACTATTTTCCTGGCATCTTACCCATGGCACACACAATGGAACTCTAACAGCCCTATTTACCTGTAACATAATTTCTTAATTTTTCAGTTTTTCACACTTCATGACAGAATGTCCTTGAAAATGTGCTCTCTTTAAACTCTCAGGTCTTAAATGTAAACTCTGAACTCACACATCCTTCAGGTTAGAATTATGAGTCTTGTCTTAAGAAGATGCACGACAGATGACAATTTTGGAGAATTGGCCCATAGTTTGGTCAAAAGCCTCCTTGACCTAATCTATTTGCTACTTTCCCAAGCTCTCTCAAAGGACCCAAATATCTAAATAGAGAATGTATGGTCTTTTCTCCTGGCATTGATATGTTGGTTCTTTCCTGTTGTATAGAAGTTCAGTTGTTATTTCTGTTTCAATTTATATGGTTTTGACAACAAATTTCCCAAAGGGCACAATGTTCAGAAACAGCTTCTAGGCAAGGACTGTCCCTAAGTATATAGGTTCTTACCCCTACTGCTGACTCCCTGGCCCTCTGAGCCCCTTGGAGCAGGACAACCTTGGGCATGCCTTCCTCTAGTTTCAAAAGCTTCAAATCTTGGCTTTGCAGGGACTAAAGTCTCTATCTAAAGCTCCCTCTGGCCACTAAAGACCAGAGATGCAAAGGTACTTCTGGGTTCATCAGTTCTGTTAAGCAGAATAAAGTAAAGAAAGTTAGAGATCTTGGCAATATCAGAGCAAAACACCCCCGTACAGGCCTCTGGACTCTGGAGAAAAAGGATGTCTGAGACAGCCATCAGTGCTCCTAGGAAGACCCTCACTGCAAGGAAGAATCTCTAGCTCAGCAACAGTCTTACCCTGCACTGGGCCCATCATCCCCACAGATAAAATGTCCTCTTCTCCCCAGGGGATCACTAACCTGCTTAAGGCCCAAAGAATAAGGCATCTTGACAACTAAAATCTTCACTCATGCAACCTTAAGTTCTCATCATATACAAGCTGAGTTTGTTCACAGGTAAATCATTGTTCACCTAGCAGGAAGTTGGACCTTTGCCCCAACAGTCCCATCTGAAATTACTACAGACCAAATGTAATTAGTCAATGGATCAACTTCTCTGATGGGGGAAAGTAGGAAGAGAAAGAGCAAAGCTGTCATGTGTTCACACTAATGTCCACGTTTTACGCAGTAACAGGTGTGTGAGTACCAGGAAAGATACGTGATATCCATAGTAGTGGCCTGATAGCTATGACATCTGAACACAGAGAAGTACAGAGTACAGGGCCAAGGAAGAAATCTGAGGAGAGAAAGGTCACCTTGAGGACTAGAGTAAGGGATACTTCCCCAGACTCCAAACCTTTTCACTCTAAACCTTGGGGGTTACGCTTTCTCAACATGCTACCTGTAAATAGTTTATCAGCGTTGCTACCTAAACTTTCCTCTCTAAAGTCTTGGGACCACTCTTCTTTGGTGGTTTCCTCTTGCTCATGGTAGCTATCTGCATTAAATCCAGCATTCTCTGCCAAGACAGCAGGATCCTCTTCTTCATGAAAACAGCAGGAATGTGTTTCTCCTTTAGGGTCACTTGAGGTAACAGAATTTTCTTCCTGGATTCTGGGGTCAGTGGGCAGACTTTCCCAACCCAAATGGCCTGATTCTTCCTCTTCTCTCAGTCCCATTCTTTCAGCTATTTCTTCAGCAGAAGGCTCTTTTGGGTCAGGATAATCCACCAGGATTGTTTCTTGCCTATGCTTGATACAGTCTGAAAGGTCATAAATTGGATAAGTTTCTTCAGGGTAACCTAGAGAGAAAAGTAGCACAATCTTACAAAGAATGTCTCTTCGAAAAAAGAGTGTCAGTCTCAAAGAGGATTCTCAGGCAGCAGCCATCTTATCCTACCAAATCCATTCAAGAAATCTCTAAAACGATTCCAGTAGTTTAAAGTTTCATTTAAGCAAATTCTTAGCAATCTGTCTGACAATCCCAGTGCTCTTCGAAATATAAACCAATTGAGATAAAATCCTTTCTTAAGTGTAGGGAGCTTGGGCAGAGTAAATCTCATACCCTGTGCTTCTGCAGTACTGATGGAGATTAAACAAACAATATGAGCCTTTATTTTAAAAAATGCACCAAATACCAGATGGAGAGAGCACAGCTCGAGGCTAATGTTTATATTTCTATTTGGAAGCATTTCCAAATCTTTCTTGGGGGAGGGGAAGAGAGGAAAGGAATGCTAAGCTCTTTGAAAAATACACTATGCAGCTTTCTTTTTATCAAAACAATTGAAATGGCTTGCAAGTGTCAGAAATAGGAAGTGCTTTAGCAAGACGTGCCCAAGATCCCAAAGGACAAGCACTGCATTTTCAGAAGACAGAATAGCTATTGTTGGCTTCTTCATCTTCACAAAATGGAACAAAAGAAAACAACAAACTGGTAAACAAAATGAGTAACACTGGTACTGAATCCCAGCTATGATAATGAGAAAGGAGAAAATGTTGCCAAATTAAGGAATGAAATGAAATAAATCTGTGTCAGCCAAGCGAGCCTGAGCAGCAGATGGGCCATGCTGAGCTCACATGCCAGTGCTGGCAACAGTGGCCATGCTCACGACACAATGCAAAAAGCTGGAAGATTCAGAACCCATTTGCAGATTATGATAATTGGCAAATTCAACCCTAACATAAACTATTTTTTGCCTACAAATTGTGAAAAATTGTGGTCTTTTTTGGGTGCAGTGTAAGGTGTACAGAGACATTTCTACATTTACTGTTATTTTCTGACTATAAAAGTCACATAGACTTACTTGTAGAAAATTTGAAAAAGTACAGACAGGTTTAAAAAAGAAAACACATGCCATTCACAATCCCACCACTGGTAATAATAATTTGCTGTATTTACTTTTAGGCTTTTTACCATATATAAACATATATTCTCCCCCTTTTTAATAAATAAAGGAGGACCATACTATGCCTAAAATGTTATATCCTGATTTTTCTTATTCAACATTATATTGTGTGCATTTTTCCATGTCATTAAGCACTTGAAAGTTGTCTGCAAAATATTATATCTCACCATATAGCTACATAATTGACATGATTTACCATTCCTCTTCTGCAAGAAAGATTCTTTCCAATTCTCCCCTATTATAAGTATTATAGCAGTTATATTATCTGAGTGTAAATCCATGACCACTTCCTTAATTCTTTAAGATAGAATTCTATAATATGAAAACTAGACCAAAAGAAATTGACATTTTAAAAGCCCTTTTTATACTCTGCCAAATTACTTTCCAGAAGAGTGGTATAAATTTTTAGTCCTACCAGTGATGTAAAAACTGCCCATCTTATAATATCCTCACCAGCTCTGACAATAGTGTATTAAGAATCTTGCCAATGCAGTCTTTATTCTGAGACTTAACTTGCTGTGGATGTAATGCTAACCTACCCAAGGGACTCACAGGCTACTTGGTCAAGGACAGGGACTGGGGAAGCTGCTTACTTGTTAGATGCTGACCACCCAATGCTTAAGAGAAGTCCATTTGCTGGCATGCCCCTACCTTCTCCTCACACCAGCAACAAAGCTTACCTTTGGATTTTCATTGATTATCTGCTTAGTTTAAGAGGAAAGGCCATAAAGACTCAGGTTCCAGACCTACTTCAGCCCTAGGTAGCAGATCCACCCTGAAAACCTTCATCATCATACCTGTACCTGCCCCCAGCCTTGAGGCTAGCCCCTGCAGATAGACTTCATGTGGCCATTTGAGTGCAAGGCCAGCAACTGTGGCCCCAGGCTCTAGGTCTACCCCAGCACCAGGTTGGCATCCCTAGTAGCTTCAGGTACCAGGCTATCACCCATGGATACAGGCCTGCTCAGTATCAAGTTGGTCCTGCAGACCCCAATGTTGGGCTAGTCCAAACAACTCCAGGCTCCAGGACTACCCCTATGAACCTGGGTCCAGCTTGGGCCCCACGGCCCCAGGATGCAAATCAGCTCTCATGGATACTGCATTGAGGCACAACCATGCAGACTCAAGCACCAGGACTGCCTTAACCCCAAGCAAGCCCCTATGGACTCAGGCTCCAGGCCTGTCCCAGTGTAGCAGGCCACCATGACCATCCTAGTACCTATTTGGCTTCTGCAGACTCAAGCTCAAGACGTACTCTAGCTTAAAGTCAGCCCTGTATAGCTAGACTTCAGACCAGCCCCTCCCTCAAGATACAGGCCCCAGGCATAATCTCATGTACATGGATTGATGCTCCAGGACCACCCTCAATTATGCAATCAATAGGTCAACCTTACTGGATCTAGGCTTCAGGCCTAACACAACAGACTTAACACCAGGCCGGCCAGCCTGAACACTTCAGTAACAAGACTTCCTACAGATCATACCAACTCTAGAATGGGCTGACTGGTGAATGATATTCTCAGATAAAGCCATCTACAAAGACTGTTATAAGTTCCTGCTTCTTCAAATGTGCAGATACCAGTGCACAGCCAAGAATAATCAAGGAAGCATGATCACACAAATGAATAAAAATCGTCACAAACAGACCCTAAAGAAATAGAGATAGGGTGGTGCCTGTGGCTCAAAGGAGTAGGGCACCAGCCCCATATGCCGGAGGTGGTGGGTTCAAACCCAGTCACGGCCAAAAACTGAAA